ATGAATTCGCCAATAAATTTATTGCCGAAATGTATGGGCGATATATCAACTTGTTTGATACACCAACACAAGATTATTCCGAGTGTAATTCGCTTAGCTGTTTGAACTGGCAACACATTCTTGGGGTCCTTGATGTAAGATCTGAGTTCTTTTGGATCTCATTATATTAATTGGTTGTGTTTTCCTCTCTAATTCTTTATATTGTGGAATATGTGGGTCGATTATGCACGTTGGGTTGGAATTCATAAGATACGATATTAGAGCATAAGGTAGATGAACACAGTTCATGATTGTTGTAAGTAATTTTATTTTTGTGTGGATGTGTTGATTTCGTTTATGGAATTACATATTATATATATTTATTATAGTGCTGTAACCTTTTGAGTCTTGATGATAAAAATGCAAGAGATGGACATTAAGGAATTACATCCTATGTGACATGTGATGGGAGCTAATTGCATTGTATATCCTTCCATCATGATCTTTGCCAAATTATTAACCCACAACCATTGCAAGGATGAGTGATCATTTGAAACCCTGTTGTTTTTCGCATTTTCTTTTGTTTAAATCTTGACACATATGGATTTAAATATACCTAAATTTGTAATCACCCCATATATGGCCTTACACTACAAGATGGGGCAGCAGTGGAAGGTACTTATAATGTATCCAGCTGTGAGATTATATTGTATAAACCTGTCAACTCAACTTAACATAGAATCTCTAGGCAACAAGAGTTAAAGAGTCTAATAAGACCTAAAAACAATGGGTGACATGCCAACACCAAAAGAATATAAAAAATTAAGAGTAGAAAGAAATAAAAAACAAACGATGAAGATGTTAGCAACACCAAATTGGTATCAACAATTCAGTGCCTAACCAATTTGTTGTGCTTTTTCACATTGGGATTCAGAAATAACCAAATCACAAAGAAAGATAGTGCACAGGATATTAAGATACACTTGAATTAAATCAATATAACCCAAACCTTTGTACACCCACTCACAGTATTTCCCAAGAACTCTAAAGATTTCTCTATGTACTCTCCTATATGCTCAAGGAAGGCCCCACACTCTCTTCACATACTCCCCATTCCTTATGTAGCCACGGGTATTGTCTTGCAAATAATTGAAGGCAAAAACCAAGACATCATCATTAAAGCATGTCTATTTCTAATTGGTCTAGCTTAAAAATTCATTAAATACTCATATGCAGGGCCGGCCTTGGGCCTGGGCGCCGAGGGCGACGGCCATAGGCCTCTGATTTTTGGGGCCCCAAATTTTTTTTAAAATATTACAGGAGCCCATCTTTTAAATAAATTTTTTTTTTAAAAAAAAAACACATATTCTTATTTCCAGCTTCCAAAGCGATCTTTCCTATTTCCAACACGCTACCTCTTTTCTCATAAAAAAACTTTTCAGTATCCAAAAGATCTTTCCCTTTCCCAATTAACGTCTTCTCCTCTCTTTTCTCATTAAAAACTTTAGACTTTTCAGCATCCAAAAGATCTTTCCCTTTCCCAACGTGTTCTCCTCTCTCTTTTCTCATAAAAAAACTTTTCAGCATCCAAAAGCTCTCTTCAATATATTATTTCCAGTTTTTCTCTCATCCCTCTTTTATCTTTGTCTTTGAATTGATCTATCCATCCAAAGAAAGATTTGTAGATTTCTTTCTTCTACACTACACGATTTCTGTACAGAAGAAAGACCCTGAAAGATTATCTGAGTGAGGATGAGGTTCGTCAATAATAACCCTATATTTGAATTCTTTCCATTATCTTTATACATATTTTTTTTATATTGAATTGTATGTTTTTAGGATTTGAATTCTACAGATTTGAATTCTTTAGGATGAGGTCGTCAATTATACAAATTTGAATTCTTTATACATATCCTTATACATATTTTTTATATCATTGCAGATGTGCAATATAGATCAATTGAAGTTAAAGCTCTGCAAGATTCAAGCTTTTTATACAACTTAAGCATAAACCAGGTTGTATTGCTTTTTTTTTTTGTTGCTTAAATTTAGTTTTTTTCCTTTGCTGGTTGTGTTTGGTTGCTTTGCTGGTTGTGTTTGGTTTAAGGTTTAGGTTGTGTTTGGTGTGGTGTGTTTATTTTGTTCATTTGTTGTCTGTCACTTTCTAGATTTAAGAGTTGCAGTAAAAAATG